ATACAATGTAAATACAATGTAATCCAATCGTGTTTTCCAAGCCTGAATGGTCAAGAAATGTTGCCCCAATTAGAAGCCTGTAAGCTGTTTATATGATGATATATGTGCAATAAAAACGTGGTCAATTTTGTAAGGTAGCACTTTCATTAAGGCCAATTTCCTAAGTTAGTTAGATAATTGATGCATTATTTTTGAACTGGCCAAACTACTTTACTTGTGTAAATGGGAATTTGGAAATATTACTTTGTATTTATTCATACAAACTATTAAGTTTTAACATATTACGGTTGAAATTAAAAATATAAAGGTACCTAAGTTACAGTTATTAAATTTGTCTCTGCATAAGAATATTTGGCAAAGAATTACCATTATTGGTACACAGGATCGAAACAAACAAAAGAAAATTTCCTTCTGTAATTCAGTCGGATCCAAGGAGTTTTTCTGTCTGTTTGTTCGAGTATTTTCAAATAATATATGAATATCAATGTTGCAAAAAACATCATGATATTCAACAAAATAAATATTGTATCCAATTACCAATTAATTATACTCGAAATATTAAGTTTATTGAATATCACGATTTTTTATTACTATGATATCCAATTATTTTTGTGAAAATACTCCACTATTTTCATTGACTTACAATTATATGGATGTCGGGTCCGCGCTAAAAAGTGTCCGAACTTATAGGGCGTTAAAATCGTATACAGAGCGTCATTCACGCTGTAGTCTTCGTTTGTTCGACTGACAGCGAAGCAAGCAAAATTAGACAGTACTGCGATGACATTACAATTTAAATTCAACGTTTTAGCTTTTTCATATTCCTTTACATGTCACTACGTTTAAATAGGTTGACTTGGGACATTTTTTTCATGGTTTTTGTATTAGACCCGTCGTCCATTTATTTGTAAGTCAATGACTATTTTGTTATATTTTTTAACACAAAGTTCAAACGCAGAAATATTCTTTCGTGCCTGAATCGAAAGAAGCATGGTAAGAAGAAGCATGGTAACCGTTCGGCAACGGTTACCATGCTGGTCTGTTACGCAAAGGTCCCGGATTCGATTCCCGGGCCGGGAGAAATATTTGTATGGTCTACATTTATTTCTCCATGATCCATGGCACCCGCGACACAGCGTTTCCATAACTCGGGGCTACGAGTTAATTAATAAATAATGCACACAGCATTACTAAATAAATACACTTAAAATGGCTTATGATTTCGCTGGATGTTATTAATCTTATGTAATACTAGCCTAATATAGATTTAAGTTTCAAGTCAAGTGTGTTTCATGCAAAATTAATTTGTGGAATTATTTAACTATTAGAATTAGATTAGAAGCTGATTTTTAATATCCTTCCTATAAAGCGTAGACTAAAAAATTTTAACGTTTGTGTGTACATTATTATATGAGATGATTTAATTAATACTATCCGCCTCTAAACAAACAAAAGCCTTAAAATTATACTCGTAACCTAAAGATTTCCCATCAAGATATTTTATCTCTGACGTCTGCCACCGGCGTAGTAATTACAATGTGCTGGTATTTATGATGAATATGCTACGTAATGATTATGTCTAAGTGGGTCCTTAGATGTGTTAGGGTACGGCTTAATTATTGCCTTCTGGCTACTGATCTACTTTTAGAATCTTATTATAGGCTTATAAGCTGAAGTTCGCCTTGTCTGTGCTAACTCACTTACCAAATAATAATCCGGTACGTATAAGACAAATAAAGAATTCCGGTAAAGTCCGAATATATACTTTCGCTGCACTATTGATTTTTTATTTATGATATCAAGTGACGAGACGAACAAGTCGTGCGTCTGATGGTAAGCTACACGCCTGTCCATAACAGTTGCAGTGCCACTCGAGAGCTTTAAATCGCAAAGATCTGAGGGGCACTGCCACTGCGCCCATCACCGTGAGAAATAAGTCTCATGTGTCTGTAATTTCACCAGCACCCTTACCCTTCAACACCGGAATACAGTCATGCTGACATTACTGCTTGGCGGCAGAAATAGGTAAGGTGGGAGTACTTCCCTGGACGAACTATTTCTCAATGAGCTCTACTGCTTCTAATATTATTAGTAGCAGTAATAGATTAATCCACATTTAAATTTATATCATAACTGTGACTCGCTAATGACATCGTTGCTGGGCACGGACAAATTATCACGTTATACGCAATAACTGAAACCGTGTTTATCTATACTTTGCAACATATTTGGACATATTAAGCTTGACTTTTTAAGGCCCCCATATACAGACGATTCCTCGTTTTGATCGATCGTTACGATAATCGTATCAATCTGTCTTTACTTCATTGGCGTCAATGTTAATCGTTAACAACAAATATTTTTCTTTCTGAATATACATTTTTACTTTAATTTATTACACCAAAACATACTCACAATCATTGTTTTCATTTACAGTTACACTTATATATTAGAAATCCGGACATGCACTTACGTATTGAATAGGTTACTTTACATTTATTATGTTAATGAAAAATTTCCCTCGTAGTCGTTTATTAGGTCTTTCATTACAAATAACTTCTGAAATTAGTACCTTCCGTTGGTTATGACTGAAAACGAGCGCTTTAGGGAACTTAGGCATGTGCTGAGTCAGCGCTATTCACTGCTGTAACAAAAAATGTTTTATTTTTTCTGTTGTATTCAATCTGTATTTGTGTCATACTAGTGAATAAAGTGTTCTATCTATCTATTTCTATTTTATAGATTCGTCGTTTTGATAAATCTGAAACGGCAGGTCGTGACTATGTTATATATGACTATATACTATATGACGGCCTTTAGACAGTTTTTGTTTTAGCAGTTTTAGTTTTTAGGCAGCGTAGAGTTGGTTTTAAATATTAAGTGCCAAGTGTGACTTGCTGGTGATCTTGTAATATCCATAATTAATAAATGTAACTAAGGGTGTAGTAACACAATTAAACCGATATTTTGGAGTCGCGATGCTCGAGTGACTACCTATTTAAGGCAGTCATTAACATAAGAACATGACCTATCTCTTATACAATCTGTCATTAGTGTAGGTCCTAGGTTCCCATCTGCACAACACTGTGATTGACCTTCCACCTCAGTTGAGATTGTTTTACATTACATAATAATTACTTACTTTTTTGTAGAACTAGTGAGGTTATTACAGAATACTTATATAACACCCGAAGGGTTTAATTTATACAGTCAGAAATTATTTGTATGATAAAATGACTTTTCATAAATATTCTTCTAATTATTTTTACAATATTGGTGGCATAATTAAAAGTAATAAATTAAATAGGAGCAATGTATTAGAAATATTTAAAACGTTAACCGCTAGTCCTACCACGGCATGACATTTGTTACCTTTCTCGATATTCATTATATTAAATTAACTTTGATAATTGATTATAATTGTTATCTTCGTTTCTACTGTCTTAGGTCAAAAGATTACTGTTACTAACAAACATAGAGTAATTGATCTCAAATAAATTAATTTAAAATTGAAATGTAGAAATCAGTCTGTATTTCTTTTTATCTATCAATTTAAATATTTTAAAATGATAATTTGTGGTCAGCTATGATTATAGGACCTGTGAAGCCCAAAACGTCGACAAAATACTTTTATTTCCAATGTGTAACAATTGCGAAAATTTTAGTAAACTGATCGAAAAACATACTTGTAATATTATATAAGTACTGTTTTTTTGCTTCATTAAGGGTGAGGCCAGAGGAGGGTAATCTTGTGAGTCGCGTTTTTTAATTCGTGTAATTCACGATGCATATGGTTACATATAAAGGTCCGGTTTGTGCAACACGACGACGCAATTTGAGTTATCAACCAACTCACGCGCGTAATTACGACCGAACTTCGATCCCACCATAGAACAATAAATACAGTAGAAGTTGTTAGTTAGCATCAGACGCGTTCCAAATATAGGTCTCAAAAAGCCTATCTAAGCTCAGTCCGCCATTTTCGCTTTGTGTGGTATGGTTGTGACATTCTTTCGTGCAAATTCTCTAAAATCCTAGAAAATGCCTTATTGTGCTGTTTTTGACTGCAAAAATAACAGCCGCGCCAAAAATATTACCCCTGCTGTTATTTCATATCAACGGAAAGTGTATTTTGATAAATTTTCACAAGAAACGAAGGACAAGCTTATACCCCTGCAATATGGTGGCTTCTTGTTTGGAGAGCTAAATTAATAACTCCGATTCGTCGTGGTTGAACCGCTGAATCGCTAGGTGGCAGCACATTGATTGAAATTTCAATATAATGTCAAAACGTCGTAACTTGTAATAATAGGTATTGATGGTACTGACCTTTCAACAATATACCAACAGGGTAAAGTTTAAATTATATTAACAATTCAGAATTTTTTATTTCTTTTTAAATTTGAAACTAAGACCAATCAATATCAAGATTTTGTAGTGTTTCAAATTAAGGACGTGTAAGTTTTGGCGACATCGGTTCTGATAGTAATATGGGCTTGAGGCACTTCCACTGTTTTTTTTTCTTCGCACTATGTGACGTGTTTGTGCGGGTGTAGGGAGGGGTGAGAGAAACATTTTTTGGTCTCTAACACATCTTGATGTTCTCATAAAGTTTCATATTACAGTATATGAAACTGGCCAGACATTAATCTTTTCATATTGAGTGGATTTATCCAGTTTCTTCTTTCGTTTTCTAATATCTAATGCTTCATAAATGTACACTGAGTATAATGGATCCACTACACTATACGACACAACTATCTTGTACAAACGTTTAAAAGCAACTGAATAAAATACGTCCGTCTGGCGTCCAACTGAATTTTAGTCGAACTTGAACTACGAGACTCAAAAAACACAACTCACAACTCACAAAATTACGCACGTCTGGCCTCACCCCAAAAGTGAGTTTACTCGTAAACAAACACGCTTAATGATTAGCCTTATTCTCTTATATATGTGACTTTATCATCTTTTTAACAATCATTTCCGTTTTGTTCCAGATAAACTGATGCTGTAGACTGGTATATAATCTCTTTCAACGCTCAGCTTCTATACTAAACTTTATAATCTATACATTGTCAATGTCTTTCTGACATTCGAGCCGAACTCTAGTACTTGTAACGTAATAATAAATAATTCGGTAATTACAGTTTTCGGGTGGGACAAAATTGGACAGTGCTAAAAAACTATGCGGATAGAAACCTTTGAAAGATAGTATATTTTGTTCGTGTTGTAAAAATACTGTGATATAGTGATGACGTCGTTTTGTGTACGTGTTTGGACCGCTTGGGTAGTTCTATGCTTTCTGGGGCAAATCTCGGGGTTGGACAATGGGTTGGCGTTGACTCCGCCGATGGGGTGGCTTGCGTGGGAGAGATTTAGGTGCAACACAGACTGCAAAAATGATCCCGATAATTGTATTAGGTAAGTTTACTATTTTGATTATTTTTTCTGCCTAAAATTGTTAATTCTTGTTTCACAGATCTTATTGGTGAGGTGGTAGGAAAGGGGGCACTATGAAAATGGGACTTCGGAAGTAGGTACCCTAAATTCGGTTGTGGCAGTTCATTCATGACCTAACCTTCTGTTCCAAGTCCTGAAATCGATTCCTCCAATTAACTTTCAAGTTGTAGAGATAAAAAATGTTTATTTAAATCTATCCGAAAAAAAAAACATTAAAAACAATTTGTAACGAAATTGAAAATCCTGACTCATATAGCCCCCTTTCATTCAACCGTCTTATTACTGTTGTATTCATAGTACGTAATTAAGATATTTTGTACGACGTGTATTATATAAAAATATTTGCAATGAGCACTGCATAATAGAGCTAAAAACTCATTCTACATTTTAAAGATTTCAGTTTTAGTATATATTACATTATTAACATAATATTTAACATCAAAATAAGATTCAAATCTTGTATTAAATTGACTTTTACTTTTTGACGTTTGTCTAAAGAGACGACCCACCGAATTGCTATAATGATTCACATAGAAATATCCTCTTACAAGTACTCCATTAGGATATTTGACAAATGTCGAAAATTAAATATTTTTCTTTAACATTAAAACACATAGGCACATACAAATAGATATTCTTAGATAAAACGGGTATACAACAATTATAGGTCTTCAGAATTTAGTTGTTCGAAAGAAGCGGGAATGGCGGTGTTGTGACGTCACACTTTAATGGTAACACATTTAATGGTTACACATTAGATGCTGCACACCAAAGATGATTATTTTGTTATAAAGGATTGGAATATCTTCCATTACTGGCTTTCAATCATTAATCTGGTGTTAATGAGGATAGCGATCTGAAAACGACCTGCAGATATATTTTCATCGTGTACATGGAGTTCATTTGAAGCAATAATAATAATAATAATAAAAAAATGATAATGAAAACCATATCGTTTATTGCATTATTTGGTACAAACCCGGTAAGGATATTGCAACTTCACTAAGTATAATGTCTATTTTAAATATCAAAAGACTCTTACATACGTATGGCACCCTAAAATTAGACACTTGTAGAAGCGCTGCAGCTGTGCCACTAACAATTTTCATATTATATCTGGAAGCGTAATCGCAGCGCCATTGTTGTAACAATTAGTTAAGTAACAAGTAACGAGCGGCTGTCGCGCCACAGTTGCGCCTCTGCAACCCTTCTACCATCCTCTACGCTGCAGTGGCGCAGCGTAAGCATCTGATATGAAGGCGCTTTTATTTGTAAACATGTGCTCCTTTTCAGTATTTCGTTATTGTGAGAGGTATTTTATTATAAACTTTTATAATGAAATGTAGAAAATATATAGAACCATTTTGTTCATTGGTATCGATTTAGATGTCATTTGACTTAAAGGACATTAGCCTGGTTTTTGAAATAAGTAAAAAAAAAGTTTTTTATATATAAACATATTTATGATTTGTTAAATGTTCGTGCCGAGGGTTCGAATTCGGGATCGCACCTTTGAGTTTCTCGGAATTTATGTGCGTAATTTACTTTGAAATTTACCTTCAGCTTTTCGGTGATGAAACCTGTACGTCGAGGAAGGTTCATAACCCTCGAAAATCATGTGTAGTCTCCAATCCGCATTGAGTAAGCGTAGTGGACTATAGCCTAAACCCTCGCCTGGGAGGAGACCCTTTCCTAACAGTGGAACTTAAAAATGGGTCAATGCTGATGATTAAATTATATACCTACTAGTATGGACTTTTTATTCCTTAACATTAACACCATAGCAGTAGCACAGATTACCTATTAGTTACTACGTAACAGATACATCATTCTCATATAAAATCGAATATGACTGTGCTATAATAGCCTACTAAATCTAACCAATTACAATCTAACTAATGTTGCTCACTGCGGAGAAAAAGAAACCTAAACACGCGCTCAGAGAGGTGAAAATAACGTTGCCCGCCGTGTGCAGTCATGCGGAGCCGATTGCTCGTAAACGAAAGACTTGTATGAGCGCTTGCGCCGACGTCAGCGCACCCAGCGGTAACTTTGAGCGAGTGACGGAGCCCTGGCAGTAGGTAGAAAATTTAATAAGTTATAAATATTTTTTATAATAATAGTTTTTTGCTTGTCCGGAAAACCAGCCAAATGTCCCTTAGTACGTACATTTAAACCATCAATATAGAAATGTGTCATTTCTAATTCCGATTCAAATAGCTTATAATAATTTCCAGTGATCGTCTCTTCCGTACGATGACTGATCTGTTAGTGTCGGAAGGGTACGCCTCCGCCGGGTACGAATACATCAACGTGGACGATTGCTGGCCTGAGAGAGAGAGGGATCATCGTGGAAAACTCGTGCCGGACAGAGAACGCTTCCCTTACGGCATGAAGAGCCTTTCTGACTATGTAAGTAGTTTATTAACATTACTGTCTGCTACTATTGATTTCAATGGATATTACGTTTTACTATCATGATATTTATTTATTTTTCGTGACTTTTCTCCACTATATTGTTATGATAAACGCGTTCAGACCGGGAACAAAATTATCATTATTTATTGTCCGGCGGGAAAGATTCATACATGGCCACCAGTTGTGGTACATCATCGCCCCATCAACCAAAACATGTGTCGGGGCGGGGTGCGGCACCGGTGGACACAGGGAATTTATACTTTAACAATTTATAATTAACCTATTACCATGCCGGACTGCCACGCAGAGGTCCCAGGTTCGATTCCCGGGCCGAGAGAAATATTTGTATGACCTACATTTATTTCTCTCGTGAGTTTGGGTGTAATTTGTGGTTGTCTATGTGTGTGTGTCCGTGGCACCCGCGACACAGGGTTTCCCTAGTGCGGGGCAATGTTGAGTGTGTGCGTTATTATTATTATTATTATAATACAATTTATCAGAAATAATTTGCCAATGTTGATTCCCGTTTTTCTATTAAGTACATTTCTAGTTCTAGTTTCAAATAAATATTTTTTAATCTTGATTTTTTTACTGTCTTACACAAAATATCAAACTTCTGAGCTACGCTATGAATATTTGACTGTTGGACAGGGCGGGAACGTTAAATTGATCACTTTCTCTCAAGGCGTCGTGAGTTTCTTAGTATACCAAAAGTCAAGTGTTGTGTGACCACCGGTGGTATACACTACCCCTGATGGACCAGCTGTCCATGCTCCACCGGCGGCATACGCCGGTCTGAACGTGTTATCAATTCGAAGATCGAATATAGAGAAATATTTCTTCAATCTGATAAAACTCGAACCTGCGTTTGTAATGCCAATCTACCACATTCTAGCCACAACATAGAACTACAACATTTAGGGGTAGTTTCAAATATTCGGCTGCAAAATGCTGGAATAATTTTCCACCACCTATAGATGACCACCAAAAAAATCTAGTAACCATTTCTGTGAATAACGTACCTCATTTAGCAAGATTTTGGAGAGGCATTATATAATATGCGCCTCATTATGATTAAATACATTTTATGTTATGAATGCGATATATAAAAATCCGAAACTCGTATTCACTAGGTTTGCCATAATCTCATGTCAGGTTGTGAAAAGTAAAAATTTTTTATTTGGCAAACTCTGGTTCCATGTGTAAATAGGTACCTACTATTAAATTATTGACACTTGAAGCAAGCGTGCCAAAGAGCTTATAGGTGACTCAGAATTAGTAGAGGCGAAGCTGCAAAGTCTTGAACACCGCCGTAAAGTTGCCTGCTTATCGATATTCTACAGGATATATCGCGGAGAGTGTGCGAGGTTGTTGCACGAATTAATTCCGCCTTCCCCTTTCACCACATTCATATGGCGAACGGCTATGGAGTGGAATTCCCTGCCTGTATTATTTATGTATAAATTTATCTATTTATTAATAGGCATTATTTCGGTGTGCATACTCCAGCGTCGACTTCATCGTCACTTTTCATCAGGTGAGATGGCAGTCAAATACGCACTTTTTATTAAAAAAAAATTTAAAAAGAACTATAAAAATAATTTAACGGTAATGGGAAACTCCGATTTTCATTTGAAACCTATGTGTAAGAAGCAATGTAAGAAATAAATTTAATTACTTACAAATAAAAATTGTTTTCCATGTCACATGCACACGTGACATTTTGAATTCAAAGACGACTGATAATAATATCTAATAAATATAGTTTCTTTCAACAATCAAGAACTTTCCTATTTCCCCATTTTTGTCATCAGTCACATTCTGATATAACTACATAAATATACTAAGTTCTAAATGAACGTAATTCATTTCAGTTTACACCACACAGACTATTAAAATGTAAATATTATTGTTACTTAAATTCACTTTGTTTTGAAGTGGTAGTTGTAAAATGTCAAATTACCATACACCAGAAACTTTCTAGCAAAACATAATCGTACCTTAACGAGCTTACGTCTTGTTTTACTTAGAAATGTTAATGTTTGTTATAATGTAACTTTTTTGTTTTAATTTGAATAATTTATGACTAAATTTTTGTTATAACTATGAATACGAATTACTAAGGATAATTATTATCACTTAGTTAATCGATGATTATAGATAGGATATTTAGCTCCTTGTGAAAGAGTTCGTCCAAGGAAGTACTGCCACCCGACATATTTCTGCCACCAAACGGTAATGTTAACATTACTGTGTTCCGGTTTTGAAGGGTAAGGCTGCGGTTGAAATTAAGGCACATGGGACTTGTGAACTCATCTCTCAGGGTGATGGCCGCAATGGTAGTGCCTCTCAGATCTTTGCGATTTAGAGCCCTGAGTAGCACTGGAAGTGCCACGGATAGGCTTGTGCCTTACCACCAGGCGCGTTCGTCCCGTCACTTCGTATCAAAAAAAATCTTCATGTTTATAGAGGTCCTCTCTTTGAAGACATGATGGGCTTCAACCTGTTATGCCATCTTCGAGAACTATGACTTCGTAGAAGCAAGCCTACTAACAAGGAGTAGGATCTGACGCATACAGGTTTTGAAGGGTGAAACTCCACGATTTTTTACGATACATATACGTTAGAAAACAGGGAAATTGGTTTCATATTCTCGTCGTTGCTAAAATGTTAAATCACCAATCGCAATATTCGCTTTTCGTGATTTAACCAATTCGGGCTTTCCATACAATGTTGCCATTGAAATTTTATATGGATGTTAGGTAAGATCGTCAATGGCGATCCACTACATTACTTTAATATGGTAAAGTGCGCTGAATACTACCTGAATACATGAAATTGTTTGTCGGTATGACGTACCTATTTTAGCTAATATTGGTTTTATTGAATTTTGTCATGATTTTTCCAGGCTGCAAACTATTTTTACTACAAAACAGTATTATCGTACAACCGCAGCCCAACTAATAAATATTACTTTGAAGCATTCTCACTTTCCATTCCTTTACATTCCCTGAGAGTTTCCTTTATTTCCTGTAATTTTACACAATTCTACAACCGATTTAACTATGATTATTTTTGTGGCTATTACTATGCCACGATCATTATGAAATTGGAATGATAATGCTTTTGCGTTTCGTTAGGGGACTAGCGAATAGTTATTTAATGAGGCCCACTTGCATACTTCATTTGTAGGCTTTTATTGTTCTTAACTTGTAAGACGTTTAAAACATTTTTCAAGGTGGTAATTGTAATAAATCTAATAATTGATGGCAACAATAAAGATCACAATCTAATTAGTTCGAATAAAATTTAGCACTAATAGGATTTCATCACGTTCTATATTTAGAGTCACGAAGTGGTCATTATTATGTTGATTTCCTGAAGCTGATCTCGTAAAGATGTTTTATATTCTTTATCTACACATCGCTAAACTTTTTGGTAAACATTTTTTACCGTTGGAATGTTGTCTTCGCGGCAATATTTATTTCTTTTAAGTTAGTCATGGATTTTGAATTGTATCTATTTATACGCTTTTTGCTGAAGTAAACATGATTGTTATGTAAAGACAACGAAACCAACAAGACTTTACTTTCTGTTAATATGGTCGTAATAAATTTGTGAGAAATTTTGAACACTTTACTTGTGTTACTGGCACTTAATCAGTTTTAATGTTCCACAGTTGTTAACGGGCAATTATTTGTGGAAATGTGTTCTATTGTAAAATTATCCTAATTAGGACAATTATGCGTTTTTAGGGAAATGTGCTCTCGTTTTTTGGTCGAACTCAACCTAATCCTCATTTTGATACCTTCTGAGTTTTCTTGTTCATCATGATCATCATTCTATTGCAGTCCATTGCTGAACATAGATCTCTCCCAATATGTTTAGCGTTCCACCTCAGTCAAAAACTTTATTTAAGAATAATTATTTGATTAAGTAAAAGTACCCTAAGACAACCTTGGTAACTAAACGGTTCACATCGTGGGCGCTGGATGCGGAGGTTCAAGGTTGGATTTCCGGTAGGACTAATTTTGGAAAAGGACTTCTCTACATTGATTCTGATCTGGGGGTTCTGGGAAGTGTCCCAGATCCGTTGCTCTGGTACTCTTATTACAGCGAATTCCCTAGTGCTTAGCACATATGATTTAGTAAAATATATTTGTGTTAGTAACCTTTTTTGCTCGAATCCAACCTAACCAAATTTTCGTAACAGAAAACCAATCAACACAATTAATCATATCATTTTCATCGTTCATTATTCATACTTAAATGGACTAATCAAATTACATATTGCAAAATGAATAGCTACGCTCTGCACGAATTACCGTCCGCAGATAATTTGATTTGAATTACAGCTAATGCACTGTGATCTAATGGTTTATGTTCTGACATTAATTGACGTATACCAGATGAATACACGCACGTGTACTCTGGATATGACAAACATCGAAAAGCGAATACTTTCATTAATACAAAATAACTTGTTTAACTCTGTACAGGGGCAGCTTTCATTTCGCAGCCCGTAAGTGCTGGAATGACTTACCGCCTCCAGTAAAAAACGCTTCTACTACAACTTTTAAAAAACGTTATATGCATGGTTACGACTTGTTCTGAGAAAATTTTTTTGTATAGACCTACAAATATCTGTCATTGTATTTGTGTTGCCAATTATGGTGTTAGTTTTAATATAATATGTTCATAAAAATCCACAATCGAATATTAACACCAATTGGTTGGCTAACATGGCTTAATTCGCTTTATAATACCATCTTAACTCTTACCTAACCATGCGGTCTTTAGCCTTTGCTTTCTTCAATGTTTCATTGTTTGTCACTTCTCACGACAGAAAGAGTAGCGATAGGGTTACTACTTCTGGAAGATTGCAATTCACAAGTCAATTCTGTTCTTTTTTCAAACTATATCATTACTGATATATAGAATGAGTATGTGCGTTATATATATCGATTATTTCAAATAGCAGTATGTCTACTAGT